AATGAGGCTTAAGTCGGGCTTGTCCCTCTACAGGAGGGATATTCCCAAATAGTCATAAGATAATACAGGGACGATGTTTTGAGCATTTGTTGACTATGTGGGAGCAGTTTTTTTTTTCGCCCAAAGTCCCCCTGTAGGGGGATATGCCCGACCTAATACCAGGGGGGGAAAGCTAGCTGCGTGCTGCGATTCGCCGATCTTCTCCCTCCCTCTGGGAACAGCCGAACCCCGCTGCGTCCCCTCCCTCTCCTGCCCCCTCCCCCCAATCATCCCCTCTCGCTCATCGGGCGAAGAGAACTATGCACGTGCACCGGTCCTGGCCAGGCCCATCCTTGGCCCCAGGATGGGCCTGGCCAGAATCGGTGTATGTGTATAGTTCTCTTTTTGCTAGCTCATTCCCCCCGCGCCCCTGCCCCCTCTCCTCCGCCCGCTCCCCTCTCTCTCTTCCGCTCCGTTCCCCCCATCCCTCCCGGCCCCATCCTTCGCTTCCCTCCGCGGGGGAAGAGCACGCTCGGGAGGAGGGGGAGGAGGAGGATGATCAGGAGGGAGAAAAGACACATAGGCACAAGGCCTCGTCGATTCCCAGGAAAACATGGGAAAAATGGGAAGTGGGGGGAAGACACAAACCCTGGAAATATGGGAAAATATGGGACATCCTTTTATTTGTGTGCATTCACTTGCGTGTCCCAGGGCCCCTTCAGATGAGGAGGGGGACCAGAGCAAGCCCGAGGTGTATCAGCCGATGCCGCGACACGCCCTCCCGTCACAAGCCCCCTTCTCAGGAGTCCGCACAGGTCTTCCTTTCCACTGCGGTCGCCCCCCCCCGGAATGGCGAGCGGCCGGTTGGCCCGCCAGTCCGACGAGGGCGCCTGTTGCAAAGGATTCTCCCTCCACTTGAAAAGGACGCCCAGGGGTGGCCCCGTTTCGAGGAGCCCGTGCCCGCCATCCGTCCAGTCCGCCAGAGTCTGACGAGCGGCGCCTTTTGCAAAGGGTCTCTCCCTCCACTTGAAAAGGACGCCCAGGGTGGCCCCACTCTCGGAGGTCCGTGCCCGCCACCCGCCGGAGCTCAGGCGATCGCAGACATGGATGACAGGGGGCACGGATTACGCGCCGGTCGTTGAAAGTAGGTCTTGTTGGATTCCCAGATCCCAATCTACTGCAAGCGCCTTCCTGCTTCAAGAATCCACCTGCTTCTGCTGTGGTTTGTTATTCTCTAGGAGGACCTGGACCCAATCCACTACATCCGCCCTCCTACTTCATGGTTCTACCTGCTTCTTCCGACCGACGTGTATTGGTTCCGGGCCGATTTCGGTGGGGTTCCGGGTTCCCGGGTTCCCGGGTTCCCGGTCGATCTCCTCATCGATCTCTTCCTTGATCCCATCTCACACCATCCCTTGATTGGGGTTTTTCTCTGGTGCAACGTTGCTTCGCGGAAGTCCCGCGCGAGGGCCTCGCTTCGAAACAGGAACCGCCTGCAGATCGTTTTTTCTGATTCTTTTGCCGATCGGCGCGGGCCCTCGCACACCCCCTCCCCCCTCCATGGACTGGATCTTGGCTGTTTTTGGCGCCTGTTTCGAGCAGGCGGAGCCTCCCTCATGATGGACGCCTGCTGCAAACAGTCGCACTGCACTAAGCAGAGGTCCGGAGCCAGACCCCCCCCCTCTCCCCCCTTCCGCCCAAGGTCGAAACGCCGAATATAGAAAACGCTCACCTTCCATCCGTGGTAGTTGTTGCACAACATGGAAGGCCGGTCGTAGAGATCGAGGAAGGTTCAAGTGAGTGTAGATGGTGGACTTTATATTCGAATGCGCGCGAGGCCAAGGGGAGACCCCAAAAGTGACGGTGTGGGCGTTCGTTGAGCAATGTGCCCAAGAGGTTGCAGCCCCCTGATGAAGTTGGCGGTGATATCCATGGCCGATCCACGCTTGGATTCCCTCTGGCCTCCAGACCCTGGAGTATTTATCGGAGGGTGCCTTGTCCAATGCCCCAACCGTCTTGGAAGGGACTCGCTGTCCACCCGTGCGGCTGAGGAAAGTGCGTGTGTGTGCCGAGCGTGCACGGGGCCAGGGCGAGAGCCCCTCCCGCTCTCTGTCCTTCCTTTGGTCGTGTAAAACGACGGCGTGCGGCGCCAGCAATGCGAGAGCCCCGTTGTGAAAACCGTCTGTGGTCCACGCGTCAACGCGATCAGAATCCATCTCTGCCTGGAGGCCGCCTGCGGCGACGGGGACGATGAAGATGAGGATGTGGATGCTGTTGCTGCTGTTGGCGATGGCGAGCCTGGGAGCGTTCGGGAGGGATTGTAGCGTCTGGGAGCGCTTGGGCGCGTCTGGGAGCGCCTGGGGCAGCCTGGGGAGCGCTTGAGTTTAAAGTCCGAGTCGGCGGGGGGTGGGCGAAACGCATCGATTGATTGTGGATTTGCTATCGATGTGTTGTTTGTGTTTGCGTTTTTGCGCTTTGGGGGTCTTCGGGCCCAGGAGGTGGGCAGACGTTGAAGATCAGCACGTGCGCACCGAACGCCGTTTGTTCCTTGGGATGGTGGGGGCCCGGTCGGATGGATGTGTACCGAATAAGCACATGTCGCGTACGATGGTGAGGGGTAGGTCGGATGGATGCGCGCCGGGCTAAATTTGTAAGATGGAATAAAGTTGGGCCGTATGGGTGTACACAAAATTGTATTCTGTCGCTTGGAATGGCCAGGATCGGGCCGGCCAGACGTGCACCGAGTATTTCCGGGGAAAAAATAAGGGCTGGGTCATGTGGATGTGCGACGACCTGCGCTTGTTGATCTAGGATGGTGAAGGTTGGGTCGTACGGATGTGAGCTGAATATTGTTGTTGTTGCTGCGCAGGATGGTGAGAGCTGGGCCAGATGGATGTGCACCGAATCGTGTTTCTGCATGAGATGGTGCGGGTCGGGTCGTGTGGACATGCGCCATGTGAAACGAGAGCAACACTTCGAATACGAGCCGGCCTCCATCCTTGAAGTCAGTGTTGCAAGTTTTGAAGACGAATGCGCGCGGCGCTAAGGCGAGAACCACAGTTTGAAAGCGAACCGGCCTCCATCCTTGAAGCTGTTGCAGGTTTCCATGACGAATGCGCGCGGCGCTCGGGCAACAACCGCATTTTGAAAACGAGCCCGCCTCCATCTTTGCAAATGTTGCGAATTTCAAGCTTCAGGGTCATAGCCGGCGAGGAAAAATCCAGCGAAACGCCCAGCCGGGCCTATGGACACGTCTGGTGGTGCGACAGGGAGGAATTAGATGTAAGGAAAGTGAGTGGTGGAGGAGGAGGTGCCAGGACCAGGGGGGGGGAGGAGGAGGAGGAGGAGGAGGAGGAGGAGGAGGAGGAACAGGAGGAAAAGGGCCAGAGTAAATCCAGACTGTGTCAACGATGTTGACAGACACCCTCCCGTCCC